TTTCTTCCTGATGTCCTTCCAGGTTCCATTTAGAAAGGATTCTCTCTCTTGTTTTATTTTTTTAAGAATTTGTGAAGGATTAGTGTTATTTCTTCTTTAAACATTTGGTAGACTTCACCAGTGAAGGCATCTGAGCCTGTCTTTTCTTGTAGGAAGAAGAAAAGCTATGCCAAGGTATGCTTAGCTATTTCCTTAACTAGCTGTGGTTTCACTTCATGAACACATGTATTCCTGTGCTAATGAAATATATCTCTTCCCCACAAGCAAAGCAAAATGAGTGGTCTTGTTCCTCCTGCTGTCAATGACTGCCTCTGAAACACCCTCACTCAGGAGTTGATCTGTGCTTCTTCAATTGCATTCTGAAATTAGTCTCAGGCCCTCACACCAATGGCAAACCAAGGCAGTGCTGGTTTAGTAAAATTAAAGCTTCCACCTGCTATAATGAACCCCTACCTACTCTTCAAGCAAAGCCTACATCAGTGCCTCTGAAGCTGTTCCTTTCACTCCTGTCCCAGCCATATACCCAGATATAAGTAACCACAACTTCTTCCTTCCCTTTAAAGAATCCATTTGGCTGTGACTAACAGAAAAACAATCCAACTGTAAATTAAATAATAGTTTATTTTTCTCCTGCAAAAAGAAGTCTGAAGATAGACAATTTCAGGGCAAAAGCAGTTGATCAATGAGAACCTCAAGGACCAGAGCTCTTTCTGTTTTTGTGCCCCAGCATTCATAGCAGGTGTACATCATCCTTACAACTGGTCACAAGAGAGCTGATACACCTAATACCAAGTCCTGTCCAAGGGAGAAAAAAGGAGTAAGGTGCAGAGGCAAAGGCCTACCATAATATTACAAAGTTTTTCCAAAAGACTCACCCAGCAACTTCGACTTATGTCTCATTATTTAAATCCAGGTCACATGATCACCCCTAGACCAATGACTGAAGACTGAAAATTGGGTAAAGCAAAAGGAGTGGAGAATGGGAGTGGTGGCTAGCCAGTGGTGGCTAGCCAGGTATTGCCATAACTTCCTTTATAGCCTTAGCAATTAGAAGTTAAGTGAAGAATGAAATGAGGGCTGGGGTTGTGGCTAGAACGGTAGAGCGCTCACCTCACACATGCGAGACCCTGGGTTCGAACCTCAGCACCACATAAAAATAAATAAGTGAAATAAAGGTATTATGTCCAACTATAACTAAAAAATAATAAATATTTAAAAAAGAATGAAATGACTTTAAGTTAAGCTAGGCTTGGAGTATGACATAATATTCAACTCTGTCCCTGTCCATCTGCTCTACAGATTTTCAGGCCCTCTATAAAGTCTAAGTGTCCTGGGCTGGCACTCTATATGACAAAGTTCCTAACTATAACATAAACACAGACATCTTTTTACTTTCCTTCTTGTAAGTAAAAAGTTTAACATATAACTCATGCTCCTTTCTTTAGAATTAGCACAAAACATATGCTAAATTATTCAGCAGTCATCTCCAGTCATTAAGCAATGTTTTTAAGTCAAGGACCCCAAAGGCTGGTCTTCTAGGCTATCCTCAGACAATGCTTTTTCCCAGCCTCAGACACCTGCTATGGCAATTAACCATGTCCATCATAGGTACCACTGCCTATCCTAGCAGGTCAACCCATGACTTGAGTAATATCTTCAAGCTTGGGCCCTGGTACTATTAATCTCTGTCCAGGAAGAGGGTAGAAATTCCAAGCCTTAAATAAGGACACCTTGAAGTTTGACTTCTCTATTTCTCACTTTCTCTGAATGCTTCTGGGAACTGAAGATAAGTCTTCATGGAATAAGGATGTATTTGTTGCAGTTCCTCAAATAGACTTCAACCAAACTCTCTGTAAATCAATCCAGAAGTTTTAAAACATTCTGTAAAATCATTTCAGCAACACAAGTCTTCCCAGTCCTCTGACAGTCCCAGCATCAGCAGTGACTTTTAAAAGACTGTAATCATTTCCACCTACCAGTTATCCAACAGAAACTTAGCTACTGTCTAAAAATCCATAGACTTAAATTCTAGTGTTCAAAAGTTTTCAGTATGCAACACTCAAAGATTTTTAGTAACCCCACAAAGTAGCAGGAATAAGTTTCTTCCTTTTATGTCTGTCTTAGCAGACATAAGAAAAAAAATGTCACAGTGGCATAGTTTTAGCCCCTAACCTCTTGCATCAGTGGCAAGATACCTTATGCTTACTCAAGTCTTGGAAGGATTTGTCCAGGACTTAGGGGTTACCTGGGGCACAAAATTGTCAATACTAAAAACAGGCAAGCCAGACAAGTTGAGCATCCTAAGACTTGGACAAACATTAGTTTATAAGCCTTCTCCTTACTCTCTTATAAACTCCAAGAGGACAAGGAACATGTCTAATGAATTTCTATCAACATACACCTAGTGCTTGGAACATAATAGGCACTAAATAAATTTTTAACAAATAAGAAAATTTACAAAAGAATGCATGAACTAATGTAAAAATTGGATTTAAAAGTTAATAATAATCCAGGACTGAGGTTGTAGCTCTGTGGTAGAGTGCTTGCCTAGTATGTATGAGGCACTGGGTTCAATTCTCAGCACCACATACAAATAAGTAAAATAAAGGTCCATCAACAACTAAAAAAAAGGATAAATAATAATAATAATAATTCAAATCCTGAGCCCTATCAGAAGTTACTTCAGCTAACTGAAGAGGAGTGCTCTTAGAAACTTCCTAGTTATCCCTTTGGGCTTAAAGAGGCCATGACCCTGAGGCACACAAATAGCCCAACACACACATGTACCATGATTCCTATATCATTTATTTCCAACCTGATGGATTTGGTAAGAATCAGATTTCCCATCATATTTTGGATATGTCCCTCAGGAAGATAGCACACCTCCAGATATAAGATGCCAAGAATTTCTGAAAGCACCTATAAAGCTCTTAGCACAGTGCCTGGCACCTGTTAAGCATTTCATTAATGTTTGTGATTATCATTATGGTTGTGATTCATTTTCCCATGCCCAAATCACCTAATCACCACCACCACCATCACCACCCACAAAACAAACAAACTTCTGTGAGGAGGTAGTATTATACCTCCAGAAAAATCAGTTGATTCCCACCCCACAGAGAGGTCACCAGCCACAGGAACGGTACACACTTCTTGCACCACTTGTTGGTGCCTACGAGACTCTTCAAACCTCTGTGCTGTGTAGGATGACAACACTACTTTTACAAGTCAAGAGAGCCTCCCCTGCTACCCCTTCCCACCCAGCCTCTCTGAATAACTCCAATACAGCAGGTGTTGCCACCTCCCTAAGTCACTTCCTACTTGTCTTCCTTAAGACACTGATATCCCTCTTTTCTCTTAAAAGCTTTTCCTTTTCCTTGTGCCTTTCTCATACAATATTTCTTCCAACTTTTCATACAAGTTAGAGTGGTTAGAACTGGTGTTGTTTTCTTTCATCTTATGTAGCAGGGAGACTTATGTTTGTGCCAGATATAATTAATGATCACCCCACAAAAGGACACAATTTACAGATGACTGTAACCTTTCTGGCTCCATATTTCCTGGAGTTTTGTGGGTTTCCTTGGAAAAATACCACGGAAAATTGCCTCATTTAAAAAGGTGCAACTACAAAGTCTGCTTTTAAGTCTGTTTGTCTTTTCTCCTTACCCATGTACTAACCTCTGTCATCTTCATGGTATGTGGCAAAATGCCACCTATCTTTATTCACAGAGCTGCTGCAACCAGAATCCTGACCCTTGGCTTTGTCCTGTGACTAGCTGGGTTGATCTCCAAAGCCCTGTCTCCACCACCACAGCCTGGTTATACTAAAGATTTCCTCTCCCTGTCCCCTCCTTCTCTTACCCAACAGGCTGCTTTGAGTACTTTCTTAAACCCATTCTGGGCATTAGAGGGGCACACCCCAATCATCCCATTCTAACTGCAGTCAGTAGCAATACAACCAAACTTTATCACCCTCAAATTAAAACCTGAATTTCTATACCACCTTCGACACATTTCTGTCACTTAGCTTGCTGGTGTGGTGGTGATAGTTGTTGTTTTGACAGTACTAGAGATTGAATCCAGGGGTGCTCTACCACTGAGCTATATCCCCAGCCCTTTTAATTTTTTTAATTTGGGATAAGGTCTCACTAAGTTTCCCAGACTGGTCTCAAACTTTCGATCTTCCTGCCTTAGCTTCCCAAACAGATGGGATTACAGGCATGCACCATGGTGCCTGGTTTACACATCTCTGTTCCCAGACATTGTTAAGAATTATAATTTTTTTTGGTGGTGCTGCTGGGGATTGAATCCAGGGCCTTGTGCATGCTAGGAATGTACTCTACAGACTGAGCTATATCCCAGCCCAAGAATTATAATTCTTGAGCCAGGTATGGGGATGTACACTTGTAATTCCAGCAACTCAGGAGGCTAAGGCAGGAGGATTGCAAGTTTGAGGCTAGCCTCGGCAATTTAGCAAGACTCTGTCTCAAAATAATATTAAAAAGGGCTAGGGGTATGGCCTCTGGGTTCAATCCCCAGTACCCACTCCTCACACACACACACACACAAAAAAAAAAGGAAAAAATTATTCTAACTCTCAGCTAGAGATATAGCTCAATGGTAGTGCACATGCTTAGCACACATGAGGTCCAGGATTCAATCCCCAGCACCAAAGCAAACAAACAAACAAATACAGGAAGAATTATAATTCTTAAAACCCAACACTCACCATTGAATAATCCACTTGGGGTACCACCAACTTCAAATTAAAGAGCATTTCTTAACTTGTGTTTCACTCTGGCATATCCTGGACTAGGGAGGAAGATAGTACCTTGTGGTATTGGTGATTCAGGCAGGAAGCCCCTCCCTCCCAGGCCAAAGTGAAATGTTCTGTCCTCCCCAGTACCCCCAGAGGAACAGGGAAGTCTCAGTTGAGACTGATCCTCAAAATATGCCAAAGACTGAAGGTTAATTAGCATTTATATATGTCCTTGTTTCAGAAAAGAGAATGGATGCTATTGGCCAAAGGGGAACCCCTGAGCTTAGGACACAGCCAAAGAGTTCCTGCCAGCACCTTCTATGTGATAATGCCATCGAACTCGCCCACATTGCTGGTGAAGGCTGTGGCCACACGGGAACTCATGCTGCCCAGCCCCTTCCCCCTGCTGCCTGAGGACCCTCCTGAAGACAGCCATAAGACTGTGGAGGCAAGTGGAACCCAGGTCTCATGGTATAGATAGAGGAGAGAGAAGATAATTGGGGGAGGGTAGAGAGGGGAGTGATCCCATGGGTGTGGCATGAAGGTCAAAGAAGACTGCAGGGATGGGAAATGGGGGTGAGAGCAGTGGGTAGTCAACGCTAAGATTAAGGCAGCAAAGTGAGAAATGAAGTAGAAGGGAAACTCCTACTTGGCTTGAGGGAAATGAGGTTTGAAAAGAGAACTGAGAGAGAAAAAGGTCACTGGTATAAGCTAAGGACTGGGAATTAGTGTCATCCTGGAGGAGCATAAACACAAACACAAACACACACACCCTGAAATCTAATTAAAATAAACACCAATGGGGAGCTGTAAAGGAGAAAAGGGAGAGTGTCAGAAGGGAAAGCTGAGAGCAAGCAAGGGAGAATGGAGGCAGGGGAGGAAGTCAGCACAGGCAGGTCCAGCACTAGGTGGAGCACTGAATTCTTGTTCTATCTGGTCTAGTTTTATCTTTGCTAGCAGCTATCCTGCCTACTCCTCTCCCCCTCTGAATTTCTAACACTTTCATCATGGAAAGGAGACTGTGGGGCTGGAAAAATGAAAGGAGTACATTAGGGAGGAAAGGGGAAAGACAAGACAGAGTGGATAGCAAAGGAAAAAAGAAGAAGGGAGGAGGGAGTGAAAAGAGATGCCCAAGAAACTGAAGCTTGTATATGTGTTTTAGTGTCTTTGGATGTTTATTTTGGTGTCCCTGAATGTGTATGTGCTGTCTGTAGGTGGCTGCATGTCTGTGCCTTAGTGTGTGGCTCCTCCTGTGCATGTCTGTGTGATGATGCATTCTTCCAGGTCTAATTCTCTGCAGTACATGTGTACAGGTGTTAGGTATTAGACCTGTTTCTAGGCATCTATTTCTATTTGTTGGGAAAAGAGCAAAAGCCAATCAATGTAGGAACCAGAATAGGAAGGGCCTCAAAATTAGACTCGAATGCAAAGGAGTGAACAGTCCTGAAAGCCATCTTCTCCTCCTCTCTTCTCTACATTTGGATTCTGTTTTTCCTTGGCTAGTTTCCCCAGCCTGGGGGTGGGATGGGGAGGCTCTGGAGAGGGAGATCCGGAACTACATCAACTATATCAGTGCTGGATTGCCAGCAGACTTGAAAGGACAGAGCCTGGCAGCCAAGAGGATGCAGAGAGAGGAGGGCCCGAGTGGCTGTGGCTCACTCAGTGTCTCGATTTGGGGCCAGTGGTTCCTGGCACAGGATGTTGTGGCCGGAAAACCTGACTGCTCAGGAATGCTGTGCTCCTATGTCCCTCCTTCTCTGCTCAACTCACCTCAGGCCAGGAATTCTGTGTACTTGCCTTGCAGATTGGAGAACCCCCACCCCACAGTATAACCTGAGGACACTCCCTCCCTCAGCCACCCACACCAGATCCCTGTACCCCTTAGGATTGTCCTAGCCACTCCCAAGAACCTGGTGACCCACTTCCCAGGGCCAGTTCATTCAGAGTCCCCAACCACTTGGGGTTGCCCCTACTTTCATACCCTTGGCTGCCATTTACCTCATAGCACTCAGGCTTGGACAGCACAAGGACTACATACATCCTCCAACCTCTCACATACAAGGGTCTCTGCATCTTACATTATGTGACCTCAAGTTCCTAAGTGAAGCTCCTCCTTTCTTCCTTAGAGCATACTGGATGGCCTGGAGCTGGAGCCCACCTATAACCCACTACAGGTTTGGAGCCATCTGTACTCACACCTGAGCAGCACTTTTGCCAAGCCTCAGGGGCGGCTTTACCCAAACTGGGAGAACAGGACTCCAAGAAAGGTACAGCTCCCCTTCTTCCCTGCCTTCCTCACATCATTCCTTCCCCTTTATTCCTACAACCCAAGAGAACACTCTATCCCCATCCCCAGCTCCACCCTGACTCAAGGGAGCAGCCCTCCGCCCTGATCCCACCCCAGGTGAAGGAATTAACCAGGCCAAGAAAGGAGGGGAAAAAAGACAAGGAGCTGGGATATGGCAACCTGTTAATCCCAGCTACTTGGGAGACTGAGGCAGGAGGATCACAAGTTTGAGGCCAGCCTAGGCAATTTAAGAGACCCTGTTTCAAAATAAAATAAAAAGAGTTTGGAATATAGCTTAATGCAGAGCACTTAACTAGCATATGGGAGGCATTGGATTCAATCCCCAGTACCAGCGAAAGGGAGGGAGGGAGGGAAGGAAGGAAGGAAGGAAGGAAGGAAGGAGAAAGAAAGAAAGAAATCCCAACCCCACAGGATAAGGAGGCTTGTCTGCTTAGGCATTTACATATAAAGCTTGGGTGTTTTAATTATAGTGTTTATGGTAACTCATTAGTCATTTAACAAGACCATTGTTCCATTAAGCAAACTGGATATACTGGAACTACAACCATAGCTCTCTCCTTGAAAGAAAAAGTGGAAGGGAAGGTGGAAAAAGAGCTGCCTACGGGAAAGGAAAATAATATTTATAGAGTGTCAGTCATTTGTCAGGTTTTATGACAAGTGCTTTCACATATTTCTCTCATTTAATATTCCCAGCATCCCAGCAAGTTGTATTATACTCACTGTACAGATGAGAAAAGGGAAGCTAATCAATCTTGGTAACTTGGAGACAGGGCCCTGGTGACAAGGGTTGAAATAAGAAATTGAAGGAGAAATATTTTTTAAGACCCATGCTCTGTAATATTTGGGCTGCCCTTTGCCCTTATGAATTTTTTCCAAGTTTCTCAGTAACAGATCTTTTAGAAAAATTCCCATTTTGTCTTAGCTAAAATTACAGAAGGATGTTTCCCAACTCCAGTCTAGAGTGGGAAGTAATTGACCAGATGTGTGGGAACAGAGCCCTCCATGAGTTAGATTGTGGGCAAGGAGATGACACTGTAGAGGCTGCAGGCCATGGAGACTCCACAGTCATATCCATGGGCCTTGAGTTTTTCACTCTAGAAAGGGAACATGTGAGGGACAGGAGGCTCAAGGGGGAATAGGAAAGGACCTCAGCATCTGTCTGATCTTCAGAGAAGCCTTTGCTTGCTCTCTTCACAGGCTGGGCAGTTGCAGACCAACAGAGTTCGTGCCACAGTGCTCCCCCTGCCAATGACTCCAGCCCTGAGTACAGCCCCCAAGTTGCCAGCAGCCAGCAAAGCTTCCTCAGAAGCCTTCTTCCGGCCTTCTGAGTGGAGGAAAAGTATCCCTCATGGCCCTGAGTTACTAGCACCAGAGTGTAGCCACCCTACTCAGCCACCACGTCCATGCCAAGACCCGCACAATGGCTATCTGTAGTCACACCTGCCCTCTATCCACCTGAGCCTCCGTGAGCTCAGGCGAAGAAAGAGCCTTTCCTTTCTCTGTCCTCTATGCTGCCACTGCCCCACTCAGGCTGAGAAGCAACACACCCAAGCCTATCCCTTCTCCAGCAGGGACCCTTGTTTTCTTTTCAATCATTTGATACTATTGTCACAGATGAAGATTAAATGCCTAGTAAACCTTCACCATTGTTAGGAGCATTCCCAGCCCAGAATTTCTCCTTGTAGCTCTATGTAAGCAGATGGGAATAAGGTTTTCAACACTCATGAAAAACAAGGACTGAAACCCAAGCCTCATTCCAGAGCCAGTGCTCTTCCCAGTATACCCACCACATTGCCGTTCCTTTAGCTCCAAATAGATAAGTGCTTGGTGCTTGTTACCTACATGCAAAGTGTGTGTGTTGGGAGTTGGGGGCTGTCATATACCTGAGAACAGGGGAAAGGATGGTGTCAAAAAGGCTTGCTCCTTTGTTATTCCTCTCTCCCTAACTCTACTCACCTGTCAGCTCCCTCCACCCACAGAATAGATTTACCATTTGTAAAATACTTTCTCTGTGCTTCAGACTACACTAAGTACTTCAGAAATGTACTTGCATTTCATACAAACCACCCCAGGAGGTATTTAGAACATTATTAGTTTCTGTACTTTACAGAAGGCAATAGGGAAGACTGATGTCATACAACTCACCCAGGGACACAGAGTTAGAGTCCAGCTGAGATTGGCCTTGACTTGACTACCCAGGTTCTGAACTGCCACACTGCAGGCTTCCCTCCCTGGGTCTCTCCTCCTCTTATGGCCCCCAACAAATTCCTGGTTCTCTTTTTGATCCCCTCCACACTCACCCAGCACACCCTGCCACTGTGCCCACTCTGTGTCTATTCACACACAGAGACCTCTTAAACCCAAGATGACTTTAATGAGAATCTTTAAAATTTTTAAAATATTTCTCTGGCAAAGAAAAGTGCAGGAGTAAGTACCCAGGCAACCTCCATACAGGCCCTTCAAACTGTAGCCACTCTAACCAAGTACCCTTTCTGTAGATCTGAGCAAACAGCTGTCTGTTCTTTTGGGAGAGGGATAACTAAGAGTGCTGACCCTCCCCAGAGTCTATCCCTCAGCCCTGCCATCAGTTCCACTCCCCAGCACTTCTAGGGACTGATGATCCTCCCCTTGATTTCCCTAATCCCTTGATCCTCGGGTCTCATCTGGGCCCCTCCCACTCTCTGGTCCTATTTGTTTTAACAGGTTTCTTTCATCCCCAGTGTCACCTTACCATGGTCCTCATATCAGCAACATTCTCAGGTAGAGCCCTCTGTCTTGACTCCAGTTCTGTCATTCCCTACTCTAGAGAACCCAGAGTCCCAGCCCCCTGAGGCCCCACTCTTCTGAACCTGACTGTACAGGGCAGTATCTGTCCTGTGGCCCTTGCTGCCACTGCCAGTTGTAGCACCAGGTTCAGGCAAGGCCAGACCCTGGGGTTTGGGAGCTGGGAGGGGCTTTATGCTCCGAGGGGGTGGCACAGCATAGTCATCAGTAGCAGGGTTGTAGGGGTGCTCATAGCCCTCCTCCTTCACTCGAGCCTGACACCACCATGCATCCTTGGGCTCCTGAGGCAGATCATAAAGGCCCCGGAGAGGGGCTGGGGCCAAGCCCTCAGGTTCATCATAGATGGGGTCCTCTTTGGTGTCCGTCAGCTTGGCCTTCTGTAACTGCTCCTGCACATGCTCATACAAGTCCCAGTAAAGAGGTTTCTTGGGCTGTACCCTCTCCCCCGCCTGAGCAGAGGTGCTGTCCAGGGGGTCTGAGTAGAGAGAGTCCTGGGAAGGGCCTGGAGGAATGCGCAGGGAGTCTAAGGGCTCAGCATACAGGGCTGGGGTATTGCCTAGTACCTCCTGGGGAACAGGAGGAGACGCCAATTTCCCTTCTGCCACCTCCCCTTCTTGGGAGTCAGCTCTGAGGACACCTTGCCCCTCTCTTGCCTTCCCCTGGGCCTTCTGCCGATGGATGGCAGTCTCAACTGCTTGAAAGATGTCATTTCCCTGTGCGGTCTGGAAGGTGAAGGTTCCAGGGCCAGAGGGGCAGCGGCGACCCGCCTCAAAAGAGAACATGACCTGAGGAGGGTGTGAAGGGAAACACATTACTAGGAGTGTCAGAAGAGGTAGATCACAGGGCCTGAACTACTTAGGGCATTTACAAACAAGTCTGAGGATGGAGGATGGGGTTGGGGTATAGGCAAAAGGAGGATTCAAAGGGCGGAGTTTTCCATCTTTCTATCCTGCCCCTCCTGGCCTACAGCTGTCCTACTCAGGAAGCCCACCCTCACAGACCTCCCTGACAGCCTTTGCACCTTGTCACCACCATAGCGACGCAACAGGGTATAGGGCCAGGAAAGGAGTGGCTCTAGGATCTGATTCTGTGTTCCCACGGTCAGGAGTGTCAGTCTCTCAGCCTCTACTCTCAGCACATAGGAGCCATGCAGGCCACAGCGCTCAGCAGCCTCAGTCCTCTGGACGGTTATCCAGAACTGGGATCCTGGAAGGAATACACAGTTAGATGGGCACCTGGGGGATGGTGCACTGTGGGCAGGGGTGGAGACCCAGAGGACTCCGGAGTAGTGTCCAAGCGCTCATTTGGAAGCCGAATCTCAGAGGCTTCCTACTTCTCTAAGAGTCCCTGGCCCCTGTAATCACCAACTCACAAAGAGCACGCCTCCTTCCCACTCCACCCCTGCCTTCTCAGGTATCTACCTTCCCAGGTGGGGCTGTACAACGAGTTCTCCAGCATCTCCAGGGCAGAAAGCTTAGGTGGGTTCTCTGCCAGCACCGGAGCCCAGCTGCCTTTCTGTAGTAGAGAGAGCATGAATGACGCTATAATTTCCTCAACGCAGTTCTGGGGTACGGGATAGTAGACTGCCTCTGTTAACCACCCCACCTTAAACCGCCCCTTAAGCCCAGGGCTACTTGCCACAGCCCCTCGCCTAGAACCCCTCACCTGAAAGGCGTTTCGACACAACGTCTGCACCCAAGCGACACTGGACTGCGCGTCCGCTGCCAACAGGTGCGAGCGCTGCGCAGTGTCCAGGCGAAACGCAACGGCGCCCGGCTCAGGGGGGCTATCCACTGCCACAGGAGCCACGCTCACACATTCGGCCAGACGGATCACCTTGCAGTCCAGGCGGCGCGAGCCCCCGCGGCCACCTCCAGAGTTCGACCCCTTATGGTCAAAGAACTCGAGCCGCGCTACACCATGGGGACTGGCCGGGTAAAGCACAGCCCAGGTCTTCCTCCACTTCTGCGGAGAGGGAAAGAAAGAGAGGCGGGGGAGGGAGCAGAAGTGCGCGAGCAGCAACACCCGGACGGCAGAGGAAGGACCCGCGCAGGCCAATTTGAGGTCTGGCACTCCCAGTCAGGAGACAAAGTTTCCCAAGAAGGACCTCCAGCATCAAGAGTGTATAACCAGAGTCTGCACACGCTTCTGTGCGCAAAAGCAATTTTGCGAGAGTGTGCAAAGCCATTTCGCGAGAACGTCACCGGGCTCTCCAACTGCCAGCGCCCGGCGCTCCAACATGCTACCCGCCCCCTCCCTCTGGCTGGACCCTTTCACTCCTTCTACCCAGATGGGGTTCGGCATTCCCGCCCCCGACTACCTTGGTCCCGAAGCGCTGACTCTGCAAAAAGAGCGGTCCTTCCATCACAGCCCCGTCCATGGCCCCCGGCAGTTCCTTCCGCGCTTCCTGACCCTGAGGGCGGGAGGCAGGAGGAGGGGCTGTGGGCGGGGCCGGCCCTCCCTCGGCCCCCACAGCTAAAACAGGGGAAGGGCGGGAGGAGAGGAGCAAGAAGGAAGAAGTCAAGGTACCCACCGAAGACAGGCGGCGCACTACCTCTAGGCCCCTACCCACAACTCTGGGGTGCCCACAAGTGGCTCCACCCAGAGAAACTTTGTGATTTCAGCCAGAGGGCCCTGGCGCCTGGTCTTGGGGACAGCATGTGACGTCATGTGCTCAACGTGACATCAGAGTAAAGGATGTGCCATCACCCCCAGGAGCCCTGGGGACACCAGAAAGGCCAAGTGGGCCTTTGAAGCTTTGAGTTCCCTTGGCCAAACCCACCCGTGGCCCTGCCCGAGTTGTACTGTTTACACTCGGGCTAGCCAGGGACATGGAGGAAGGGCTGGGGGCTGGAAGGCTTCCCACCGCCACGGGGGCCGCCGCCCGGTGGCCGCTTGCAATCCAGCTCTCTGATCGCAGCTGCCCAGCCTCCAACCTGCGGGAAAAGAAAGCTTCATTGAGCCGGGAGGATAAGGGGAAGGGGGGAGGTGGCGCGGCAGTGGCCAGCTCCACCAGGGAGGGGAGGACGTAGAGGAGGGAACTGGCTTGAGAGGAATGGAGGGAGAAAGAGGAATGTGGGAGGGCTCAAGGGGACGTGGGAGGGACTAGCAGCGAGGGGGGAGAGAGGGGGGGTCCAGTCTCCCCTGGCCGAGCACTTTTTTTTTTTTTTTTTTGGAAGTCCTAGCACTAATCTCCAGGACCAGGACTCTTCTCCCAGTCCCTAGGGCCCTTTCCAGCCAAAGGTAGGGAAGGCAAGCTGCCTGAGAAAGGGGAATTTGGGATGTAGAGGATGTGGAGGGACCAAGGAAAAGGGGTGGTGTGGGATGGAGTCGGGGAAACCAACCAACTGAGAGTTTTATTATTGTCTAAGGGGAATGAGACACAAGAAGAGTGGGGAAAAGAACAAATATCGAGGGTGGGGGCTGCAGGGTGTTTCATGAGGGGCAGCTGGGAGGCAGGGGGCTCCTCTGTGAGGCCCTACCCCTGAGCCCCAAAGCCAAATGTTCCCAAAACAAAGCTGTCTTGTTGAGCTGTTTGTCTGGTTTGGGGAAAGCATGTTCAGGGAGCCCCCTCTCTGTGGAGAGGTTGTTCTCAGCCCTGGACAGAGAAGGCCTTGGGCAAAGAGTGGAGAACGCACCCTGGCCTCCCGTTGCCCGGTGACAGCCACACTGGTGTGAGCAGAAGGCTTGGACTACCCCACCCCATTTTCTGCCCAGCATGAGGCCTAGCGTTACTGGGCTCCTTGACCCTGCAGGGCATCTGAAAGTCTGTGTGCTGAGAAGGGAATGCAGCGGTTTCTCCACAAGCCCTTTGCGGCTGCCCTCCCTGCCTGGGAAAGAGATAAAAATTTGCAGATAG